TTTGACTTATCTAAATAAACTTAAATTGAGTTTAAAATATAATGACGAAGGATTAACTTTTGAAGCTTCAAACTCTACATATGAAAACTAATCACAAAAATTTCCTGTGAAGGAGATGTTTCTTATCAAAGTTAAAATTTTTAAATTAATTTTGAGTTTGAGTTATTATATTCACATTTAGAGTTAGAAAATTGCATAAATAATAATTCAAATTATATGATATGTTTAAATTTAGAAGATGAAGTTTCTCTCGCTTTCGCCATTTAAGATGCAACACTCCACCGCTTCACCTAGTAGCACGACATACAATCTTTACAAATTTACCATTTTGATTTACGAAAAAATTATTTTTAGGAAGAGAAATTAATCTCATATAAAAAATGTAGAATGACCCATATATAGTTCAAATTGTAAATGTTAGTATTATTGTTAAAGAAGAGGATTAAAAAGTCATCAAGAACTATGATTTAACTTGGAAATGAATCTAAAAGTTTCGGGCAATTCAATGTACAAAAGTGATTAGGTAAGAACATTTGTCTTTGATGAAGTTTTCAAGTTCAGTTCTGGTATGCTCTAACTAATTAATGAACATTCATTTTCAAACATCACTTTCTACTATGAGAAATTTCTACCCACTTGGAAATTTTAGTTTAATCTATAATTTGATTACTGATTTTTAAATTAAAGGTTTTCATTTTTTGAATTTTATAATAATACTATTTATCTATACAAAAAAATTATTTGGCTCAACTTGGATCTAGTACAATTTCATTAATAGTGGGTCAAAATGTTTAAAAGCAAAATCCAGCTAAGGCATTATGAACATTTTTTACCTTTTACAATACAAATTGTGGCAGACTCAAATTGGTTCATTTAGCACTATTCTTATTTATAAAAAGATTTTTAACTCAAACTATGTATTCTTTTAGCTAATAAAAGAAAAAAAGTGCTAACATATATGGAATTTAAAGATTGCTTTTGATTTTGAAAGGAAAAATCAATCTTCCTAAAGTATGATGTCGATGGCTTGTAACGTGCTTCTAATTAAAATTAGATTAGCTTAGGAACTTCAGCAAATTAATAATTTATTTCTATGTACTGCCATCAAGGTATCGGTATTGAGATGATAAACAATTTTAATCCCCGTAAAAATAATAATATAAGTTCGATCCCAAAACCACACATTGCCCAGATTGGAAAAAAAAAAAATTTATGTGCTGCCGCCCGAGAGAAATTAAACATCATAACTATAATTAATAGCTACTAAAGCAACTAGTATTGACTAATGAATAATAATACATGCATTTGGCTTATCTAACATTTCAAAGGACCATCTGTCATTCACAATTTGACAACATAAATCACGACACAACAAAGTGCTTTTCAAGCTCATAACAAACTGGGCACCATCTACCAACAAAATTCAAAAGCAAATTGTTTGAAATAATATCATCATCTCAACAACCAAACCAAATTCCTGAATTGTCATGTATTTGTCAAACAATTTACATCATATTTTCATGACAAACATAATAATTTTTTGACTATGAATAAAGGGATTCAATTATAATATGTACATCGGATACTAAGGATATGTTCAGCAACATTTGTTATTTTAATAGCTGGTAGCTGTTGCAGTAGCTGTGAGCTTGTAACTATTTATAGAAGGATTTAAATTAGAAGTATTTGGTAAAAATAATTATTTAACTTAAAATGACAAAAAATGATATTAGTTATTTAATTAGTTGAATTCGGGAGAAAAAACAACGGATATATATATGATTGTCAAAAAAAAAAAATCTATGTGAAATACTAAAAATTAAAGTGTTTAACGTTTCATAAAAAACTACATCAAATCTTAAAAGCTATTATAAAAACTACGATACCGAATACTATAATTGATAGAGATAGAGTTTTGACTTTATCAAAACGCTAAAAACTAATTAAAAAATTATTACAGTACCATGTTTAAGACATAGTCTATTGATAAATGTCCGTAGAATCTAACAATAGTGTGTGATTCAAATTTCTCCTCCTCCAATGCTCAAAAAGAATTTATTAATGGAACTTGATTGAGAGAAAGAAAAAGAGAATCATTACATTTTTGTGAAAGTGTCGGTCCTATCCTTAATCCTTATGTATTTCCTATTTAACCAATAAAAAGATGGAGAATCATTTGCTTTGTTGCAAGAACTCACAGTTTCTATATATTAACTTAGCAACATTAATGCAGTGAGATTCGAATATGCTAATAGGATATGGAGATTAGATTGGAGTTGACAAAATAAAATTTTAAACTATGGATGTTTGCCTATATATTAAACAAGCATGGCCCACCATCTCCTTTTTTTTTTTTTTTTTATTAAACCAATAAAAAAGATGGAGAATCATTTTGCTTTTTGCAAGAACTCACAGTTTTATATATTAACAGCAACATTAATGCAGTTGAGATTCGAATATTGCTAAATAGGATATGGAATTAGATTGGAGTGACAAAATAAAATTTTAAAAACTACTTTGGATGTTTGCCTATATATTAAACAAGCATGGCCCACCATCTCCTTTTTTTTTTTTTTTAATATATGATCACTATATTATTTATTTGTTAGGAATTATCACTTTCTTTGTCACTATGCCAACATTTTTTTTAAGAAATTCATATCTCATACCTATTAGAAAAAAATTTATACTGTACATGGAAATAATATACGTCATATCCTTTTTTTTTTTTTTTTAATATATGATCACGTTATTATTATTATTTGTTAGAATATCACTTTCTTTGTCACTATGCAACATTTTTTTTTAAGAAATTCATATCTCAATACCTATAGAAAAAATTATACTGTACATTGAAATAATATACGTCATACCATATGTTTGAGTCGATCAGATTCAGAGATTTGATTTTTTTAATCCGGAATTCAAAAATCCTATTTTGATTGGTTTGATTTATACATGAGTCACGGATCCGATTTGGATATTTATAATAATAATAATAATTCAATTAATGGAATTGGTTGGAGTGGAAAGAGCTCAATTGTTTCATCTTTATGAATAAAAAAAATTTCGTTGAGAGCGCTTTCTTTATCACCCTGCGTATTAAACCAGCAACACCTATATCACCCTTAAGATTTAAGTTATCAAATCAACCGTAAAACATATCAAATTTAAAGGTAAATTTATATATTTAATGCCAAAATGACACTCCACTCTTTCAAATTAATTTTATTTTAATAAATATTATCATTATACATTGAGACTTCATAAATAGAACCATGTGGCAAACAAGATCTTGCCGACTAGCTAGCAAGTAGCAACTGCTGGGATATGAGAGGCTTTCATATTCATATAAGTGCTGCTCATATCATCTTCAAAGAAATATTTGAATATTAAAAAAAAAATTGTTAACAATTGTTTATATTTGAATATTAATTTAAAAATATTAACATATTTTTTAGGTTGTCTTCTTCGTGGGTTGTCATTGGCTTAAGCTTCTCTTATTCTTCTGACTACTTCAACACAATAATATGATTCTGCTTACCTACAAATAGACAGTATAACGACTCTTTTTTCATGTGATAATGTTCTGACTAATTAGGGTTAGTAACGTGGAAGAGAGCAAGTGATTTAACTATTTCCTTCTATATTTTCTTTGTTTTACTTAATTGCTTAGCTTGCACAAGAATCAATCTTAAATTATTATTATTTTTTGAATTAATGACTTAATTAAGTATTTTTATTGTATAAAAATAGCTTTTAATTCAATTAGTTAAGGGATAAACACTATTTTTTATTTTCTTTTATTATTACTACTATTTATTTTCTCGAGTCAATGTGATTTGGTGGAATCTAATAACCTGCTTTGAGTTTAAAATAATTTTTTATTAACAAAACCCATTTAAAATTCTTGATGAAATACATCAAAACTCATTTAAGATTCTTAATGAAATACACACTTTTTTGTTAACGTTTTAAAACTTTAAAAAAAAAAAAAAAAAAGTTAAAGATAGGTTAATATATATGCATTGTAAAATTCTTTGTTTTTTATATTTTGTCATTAAAAAAATATTAAGAGTCGGACCAACTTGATCTTGAATGCAACAAGTCAAAATGCCTAAAATACTCTTATCAGATCTATTCGGTGGATTTTACTCGCAATATATATATATATATATATTACTGCTGGATCAAGACGCGTGTACTAATTAATATTTAAGAAAAAGTAAAGTAAAGAATTATTCAAATTAAATAATGGTTGTAAATTTTACTATATTACATATTTTGGTGGCACAAGAACACAAGTAACTTTGTTTTTCTATATTATAGTGATTAACAAGCTTAGATGACAGCAAACCAATGATTGAAGCTAACCTCACAGCCACAAACACATTAATCTCTTTCTCACTTACGTTACATAATCAAAGTCAAAGATGACTTTGAGTAGCAAATGGTGAATGTATATTTTATACTATGAAATTTTCATTTACCAATTCCCAATTCTCAAGATTGTGTTGGAAACATGGAAAAACAGCCATAAAAAAGGTTTTTCTACGATTTCTGAAATGAGATTAATCCGTTTGATAAAAAATGTGTGAGATTAATGGTATAAAAAATAAAAATAATAAAATATCCATATATATTATAAAAAATTAGCATTATTTTTTTTTCCTCTTAAATTATTAAAAATACTCTTAATACAATAAAAAAAATTAATTTTCATTATTTTGGTGTAAGCATATATATATAAGAAAAGTATTCGGCCTCCAACTACCGGGCCTTTGAAGTAGGAACATTGTGCGATTAGTGGGCCGCTGTATTGGTATGTAATACAGCGGCTGGGCTTATCTTGTGGTATTTTTATTCAACTCATAGGCCTTTTTGCTAAGCCTATTTGTTGGTACCTATGTGTGATTAATAAGACTTGGTATTTGTTGCAAAATATGTTTTTTGACCGGTTGAACAAGTAGTGGGTTAACATGGATCAACGGGTGAGATTTATTCCTATCATGTACCGGTGAAAACATGAAGGACACCAGAAAGCTACCGTATACGCGAAGAGGAGGGAGAGTTTGACATTTTTGCTGAACCTGGGCTAGGTTCTTCCCTCCATTGTTGATTCCTGCAATCTCCGTTAACCTGTAAGGCTATCTCTATCTCTCGCTTAGCATTAATGATACTTGCTCAATTTTGCAATTATCTTTTAGAATTCAAATTGGGTAAGCATTTAACCCATTACAAGGTCTTAACTACGAATTTGAACTCATAGTCTCTTTTTACTGCTCTCTGATTATTTTTTATTAGGCATAATTTAATGGGTTTCTTGTTTTTTGAGGTTGTAAATGATAAAGAAATCTGAACTTAATGCTCTTCTTTTCATTGCTATTCTTTTGTTTCATTCATTTTCTCGATCCCCAAACTAGGCAATTCTTTATTATTTCATTTCTTTTCTTTTTCATATACTTGTTTAAAATATGGCCCAAGCAAATTTTATACCTTTCTTACTAGCTGGTGATTGAAGTTCATGTCTTGAATTGTATATTTCTTTGTTTGATTCTATATCTTGACCTTTTACCACAAGGCTTTCCTTAATTTCGTCACGTATCTCGTATGTTGTATGATGGGTTTTGGTTTCTGGCATTTTGTAGTTAGTTTTATGTTGTATCATTCTTGTTATTCTTATAACCATCTCAGTATATTGCAGCTTGTTGGAAGGTGATCTCCTTTTGATTCACAAATAAAAGAGACTGTGACTGCGATCCCTTACAATAAATTCATAGAAATTCTCTGTTATTTATGACCTGAAAGCCATCCAGATGGCTTATGAACTAAATGAACAAAAGAGTAAGCAAATTTTCTTTCGCTTCAATGAGTGTTTCTTTATTAAATTTTTTGTGCGAATGCATGTGCTTATTTATCATATTTACTTTCGTTATTTTGTGCATTCACACACAAATTCTATTAGCTTCACTGTGCCTAATTTTAATGTTAGGATACATTGTAAAGAAAATGCTAGAATAGCACTAAGAGAGAACCCTACAATCTCTTATGGGTCATTTGATAGAAATCTACAATTAGTGTTAGGAACTTGAACCCTTCGTTAAAATTCTGCTTATTGCTTTCATTAACCTACATGCTTTTTAGCAACTGGATTCAAAAGCAAAGACAAGGTAACTACCCACTACAATAATAGAACTAGAAACTACCAAATAATAAGCGCCCACTAGTAAAAATCTGATTCCCATCTTCTTAGCTATGCATGAGAAAAACAGAACAACATATACTAAGTAAAAACACCCCAAACACAGCAGCTCCTGAAACTTGCCTAATCTGCACCCATCCTAATTTTTTACTGAAGCCTGAATTTTATTGATACTCCTTCTGTCCTTCATCTACTGTCAGATGTAGATATCTGATAAAATTTCCTTTCTATGTCCTTGAATACTCAAACAAAAAAATTATGGTACTGAATTTATTTAACTTACTCAGAGTTCTATTTATAATTTTCTGATTGAGAATTAAAACTTGATTTGTAATCTCAATTTTTGGCATTAATTTGCAGAAATTGGATTGGGGCTCATTGGCTTTGGAATCTTTTTCACATTTCTTGGTGTACTTCTGTTTTGCGACAGGGGTTTACTTGCCCTAGGAAATGTAAGTGTTTTCTATTGCTTAGGAATTTTGTTGACATTATTTTCAAGGAAAGCTAGAAAAGCAGAAATTTTCTAATCTGTTGGGATTCTGTAAGTAGATATTTTGGTTGACAGGTGTAGCCATTTTACTTGGTTGGCAATCTACTTGGAAGCTTTTTACAAACAGAGCAAACTATAAGGTAATGGGAACAAGTATATTTGCTGAATATCCTGACTGTCCTTCTCTTATACATTTTACCATTGCCTTCTCTTTTGATATAGCTATTAGAAATAATTGTGTAGATAAAAAAAAATAAAATAAATAAAAAAAAAAAAAAAAGAAAAATTTGTGTAGATAAAAAAAATAGAAAATAATAAAAAAAAAAAAAAAAAAGAAAGAAAGAAAGAAAGAAAGAAGGGAAAAGTTGTGGGAGGAATAGGGTGGGCTGGTGGTTATCAATGCTTGAGGCTAACTGCTTTTGAAGAGTTGGGGGGTGGCGGGGGGCGATTGGGGGGGGGGGGGGGGGATGATTTTTTCTTCATCATTCTATTGAAATTTTATTTGATTATGTTCCACTATGGTTTACTTATCTTCTAAAAAAATCTACTAAAAGTTTCTATCCTCCCTTTGGAAAAAACACCTTCCGACTGAACTTTTAGTTGCCTATTTAATCTGCTGCTCAGTATGAAGTTAGAAATGCCTGCGTGTGTGAATGGCAGTATGTAAGCAATTTATTTGAAATGCAGACATTAAAATTATCTCCTTTTGCAGGGCTCTGTTTCTTTTCTTCTCGGGTTATTCTTCATATTTGTTCGTTGGCCGATAGTTGGTATAATCTTGCAAATATATGGCTGTATTGCTCTCTTCGGGTTAGTTCTGTGTTACTCATCACAATTTACCTAACCCGATCACATACTCATTATGTGCCTAAACTGTTTGCTTTGATGATTTTCTTCCAGTGGCTTTTGGCCATCTGTCAAGGTATTCCTCTATCAGATTCCTGTTATTGGATGGATTATACAGTATCCTGTTCTGGTGAGTCATACTTTCTAATTCTTCAATTACTTTTACTGTCTGGTATGCTTAAGAATTACTCTTATAAAACCATGCTACTTCACTAAACTCATCAACCTTTTTTTTTCCCAATCATGTAATGGCAACTGGGTGTCATTTTACAGTATTTATCTTAAAATCTTTAGTATGATATATTAAAATAGCTTCTCTTTGTGTTTAATTTCAGGGCAAAAATATCTATAAAATCATTAGCTGTTTTTTTCCTAGACCTTATGCTAGAATATTTACTGCAGAAGTCCCTGTTGAATGGTCCTCTTTCATGAAATTACCATCTTTTTGACACACTTGTCAATGGACTTGTAAAGAATTCCCTTTTCTCTTCTATCATGAAATTATAGAGCTCTGCCAAAAAAGCTAAAACTAACCAATATCAATCAATTATCGCAGCTTCTCGATCGACTGAGGGGTGGTTCTGCTTGAAGAAGTTTGATTTTTGTCCAGTTCTTCCGATGAAGGCAAAAGTGATTGAATTTCCGCGGTTCTCTTTCAATGTTATTCTCAAGCGATTATTAGGTTTCAGCCACTCAATCATTCATCCTTTTATGGGGAGAAGCCATTAGAGAGGTGATAGTACTAATTGAAGGGATAAAAGATTGAATTTAGACACAGGAGGTTGTGTACTAATTAGTAGGAGTATCACATACTGCCAAACCGATTTCACAAATTATGGTTTGAACCAAGTCAAACCGAACCATATTGTTATGGTTTTATACAAGTGGCAAGTTGGTATTGGTTTCAATTCCATCAATGATATTAGAAAAATAATTTCCTTTAAAATGAAAAAAAAAATCAATTCAGCAAAATAATATTCTTACTTTATGCCATGTCAGCAAATATGATTGAACTTTTATTTATTTATTTATGTAGAAAGATATATAAATGTAGATAAATAGATAGATGCTACATCTTTGCTAGTAGAAACAATTATTCTACCTCATTTTAAAAAAAAAAAAAAATTAATACACTAAATTATTCTTTATCAATTTTCTAAATAATTATTATTTATTTAGTAGAAATACAAGAAATAAGGCTACGTAAAATTAAAAAAATAATTAATATTTCCTTTTTTTTTTTTAAATAGCAAATAAAACGAAAAAAAAAAAATGTGCTACTCTTTTTTTTTTTTAATGTACTACAATTAAAGGATTTGCATTTATGAAAACATTGGCTGAGTTCTTGAAAAGTTTCCTATTACAATATATAAAACATTTAGGTTGTTGAGATTTATAGTACGATTTTCCTAGCCATTATTATTATTATTGGGTTTTCTAATAGAAAGGTTGGAATAGAGTTATCCATTGTTGGATTCACTAAAAGTGGATTTTACATATCAACCTAATTAATTTTAAAAAGGATAAATTATCATTTAGTCCTTGATGTTTAACCTAATTAACAAATTCGTTTTCCTTAAAAAATTTATTCCAATCTGTTCTGATGTTTAACCTTAAATCTATTGGGTTTTACAAAAATAATTGAAAAAACCTTAGAAATTATCAAACCATTGTTTATGTTTTTTATTTATTATGAATTGGTTATACCCTAATTTTCACTCTCTTCAATTAAATCAACCATTTGGTTGACAACAAATTGAATTTATGCATTCATTACTATACATTTCAAAGGCAAAAAGATGGATTATACTTTTAAATTTATGTTTGCCCATAAAATTCTAAGATAGTTTAGCATTGGCCCCTTTTTCTTTACCTGCCATCACTAGTTAATTTATTGAGTGCTTTAATTGTTCATAATCATAGTTCTTGAAAATTGATTTTTAAAATTTTGTAATTGGAATGCAAAACCAAGATTTGGTGCTTTGGTTTCCAATTATTAATAATTGTTCTATTTAAATGCTAATTAAAATAGGGTTTGAAAATTTTAGAAATATTGCAATATGTACACTTTCTTTCTTTTGCATTGGAGTGAAAATGCATATATTTTGGATTAGATTTACCTAAATCAGATTTATGGATCCGACTAAACCAATGAGAATATAGGTTTTTTAAATATTTTTCGTATGTTATCCTTTTTTTTTTTCAGAAATATCATTATTTCAATAAAAATTTATTTTTCATTAGTTTTGGTCCTATAGAACGATCTCGGTAAGTTAATTTCTCTAAATTTTTTTAAAAAAAAAGTATTTGGACACTTAATTTTTAAAAATTTATTTTTCATTAGTTTTGCAACCAAATCGCTCCAACTAAAGTAGAATCTAAGAATCGCTTTGCCTTATAAGGAGACTCATTATTTGTGTAAACATGTATTCTCTCTGTCTATTAATATCTGTCTTTTCAAAAGTTATTTTATCTGAAACTATATACCGATGTGAGAAAAAAAACTTTAATGATTTTTCATAAAATGGCAAAATAAACTATTTTGTTTGAAAGTCAAACTGAATTAAGCTATTTAATTTAGTCAAATGCAGTACTAATTAATTAATGGAACTCTTAATTAATTCTTAAAAATATAATAATACCAGCAAAGCCACTTGAAATGACTCAACCTAAACCGCAAACTCGACCCGAAATTGAACCATTTGTGAATTGGAACTCAAAGCAACTACTCATGAAAAGACATGACCCGAACTCCAGATGACCTGAAATTGCTACTAATTTGTATTTCTCTAGAAAAATTATTATTAATGGAATTATTTTTTTTTTCAAATTTAATATTTTATGTGATTGGTTTTTATTCATGATTCTTTAAAATGACATTAAGATACATTTACATATATGATATGTAAAAATGTAATTGCAATTTAAATTTAAAGTTGATAATTTTTATTTGCATAGCGCATTGAAATGTAAGTTAATTTATTTCTCTGAAAGTGAAAGTTTATTGAAATTCTTTTTATTTGAACATTAAAATGTATCTTCAAATTAATATTATCTATTAATTAAATTAAAGGTATGTTCGACAAAATTAATTATTTTGGTAGTTGTTCGCTATTTTAGTAGCTAAAATGTTTTAGTAAGTTTTCATAAAATGTTAAAAGTTAAACGTTATATGAATTAACTTTTTATAAAATAGTATTTTAATCTTTAAAAATTAGTTTAAACGTTATATTACTGGACATCGCCTAAGAGTAAATCCCTTTGTTAGTAGTCATCTTCCTTTCTAGGGGCGGAATCGGAGTTTGAGTATTTGAGGGGAAAAAATAAAAATAGGAAAAAAATAAAAGAAAATTGAATGTAAAATTAGGGGTGAATGTGGAGTTTTTGAAAATATATCTAAAATTCAGGGGAGAAAATCAAATTTTGAAAAGTTTTGGGGCAAACATAAATATTTTTGAAGAAGTATATAAAATTCTAATTTAAAAAAGCTTAGAGCGATGACCTCTTAAGGCAGAATGTGGATCCGCCCTATTACATTTCAATTAAAATCCTCCTTTTCAAATGATTGAAATGTTATTTCCCTCGAACTTAAGGGGCTAAAATCCAATGGACATATTAAAATATATTTTTCTCCAAAAATTAAAGTACTACTTAATTTTTTATATTTGAAAAAGTATGGGTGCAAATGCAAATTTTGCTTAATTTCAAGAGGCTATTTGCAATTTATCGTTTCACAAATCTCTATTTAAAAGCACATGGTTTGTAGTTAGAAAATTTCATTTTCAAGTCTCTATCACTTTGGTCTTTTGTTTGTGCATTATGGAACAATGAGAGGAGAATATGTGAATAACAAAACAGAAAAAATTAGTACTTTTTGAACATTAAATGCGTGCGGAGAAAATGGGTCTCACGCAATTCCTATAATAGCATAGATTGGATTTTCCATTTCTATCATCCAATACTTTCATCCTAAAATAATATTAGCTTTCCGTGTTTTGTATAATTACTCATTTTAGCCCGTAGAACGTAAAAATTTTTTACCTTTTTAACAAGTGAGTCTTTCAGAGATTGAATTTATATTTCGCATTTATGAAAATTGTCATTGGATATATATATGAGTACCTTCAATATCAATAAATAATTTTTTTTTATAATTCTATGTCTAAATATATAATTTAACTCCTGAATTTTCGTAAAACAAAGTTTTACCATCTCTAAATTTTGGAAATAGATTTTCCGAATTTCATTTTTTCTATACTTATAGACTTTAAATTTGATTCATTTTTCAGTATGCAAAGTATGGAATTATCAAAAATTTAAAACGTTCATTGGTCAAAAATGAAATTTAAAAAATCATAAAAATTATTTTCTAAGTACAATAAATTTTTTTTTTTTGGTGAAAATTGAAGGGCCTTATCTATTTGTTGTGTTATGTATTGAATAGTTGAAGAAAGAGGGTGTCGGTATAGATGAGAAAAACAACATTTAAAATTAATTATAAGACATTAAATAAGGTTGATGCCCCAACGACTGAGAGAAAGAGAGGCATTGCAACTATTTATTGTAGTTTGTTGGCACCTCAAAATACCACATTGTAATTATTTAGAGCATACGTTAAATATTTGTTAATTAAATAAATAATTGCAATAGTCATGGTTGCACAAATGCAACTAGCATAGGGTTGGACCATAATAGACACAACCAATCCAATTGAATACTGGTTTTGATTCATTCGGTTTGATTTAAAAAAAATAGTCAAAATCCTAAAAACCCAATTGGTTTAACTCCGAATAATTCAAATTGAAAAATTGAATCAAGCCGAATTGGTGCAGTTTAGTCCTATTTGATACATATGTTTCGATTTAATTTTTTCGTCTAAAATGTAGCAATTAGTGAGAGTAAATCTCATAAATTAATCGGTACATTCATTAAACAAAAACAAAGAATTCGTAATTATAATTAAACATGAGCTAATAAATGTTATTAACAAGGTCTTATTTATTTATTTGAAGTGTTTCGTAATTAAATATATAATTAAGTTTCTTTAATGCTTATACATGTTGGTTTGGCAATGTAAAGCCACGACTAACTATTATTGTCACGAGATAGTATCTAAGAGGTACTTCTTAAATGTTTCGATAGCACCTGAATTGGTTTGGAGAGAAAATTTAATTAATTTCTACTTATGTTGAGTACGAATTTGGATACAATGTCACCCAACTGCTTTGAAGAAGATAATTCCTTCGCTTCATTTATGTAACTTTATCTGTTATATAGTTGTTAGCCGTCAGTTATTAAATATTAATTATTAGTTTTTATTTGTTATATAACGGTTTAAAGTGAAAGTGTTCGGTAAAAATAATTGTTTAATTAGCTGTTAAATTAAAATAAAAAAAAGTAAGGGGAACGATTTTATATTATCTTAAACGCTCTCTTAATATGCTACTATATATATATATATATATATATAATCTTACTGAACAATATAACTAATAAAAATAGTATTATGACCTAATCAAAATGCTAATTAAAATTGCTTTAAAAGTAGTTGCCGAACAAAGCCTTGATATGTTTAAAAAACTTAGTGAATATATAGAAAATATTTTCTTAGTTGAAAAGAAAACTAAGTCATTTTAAAAAGAGAATGACTTTCTCCTTTTACAAGAGAATTCTTTTTGGAAATTAAAAAATTTATTATAATCTTATAATCACTAACGATCTCCATTCACCAATATTATGGATAACTGGCATCTATAAAATTAATTATTATATATTTTTCCTTATATTTAACAATAAATTTTTAAAGAAGTGTTATTTAATGAATAAGGTGTTGATTAGAGTGGTAAGTGATCTCAATCCCCATAAAGGTGAAAATACAAGTTCAATACTCAGTGAAATGCACTTGATGGGAAGTTCAAAAACATTTACACTCTACGATCCAAAGAACCCTTCCTAATATTACTTAATTAAAAAATAAATAAATAAAGTGTTTTTTCACGTGTGATTAATGTTTAAATGCCCTACTGATACATGCAAAAAATTAAATGTAAATATATTAGATTAGTTGAATCTTAAATGCTTTTGAATTGAAAGATATCAAATAACTGTACCCACTAAATAGCCCCACAATTAGTTCAAAATTTTTTACAAGCATTTGGTTATTATTCATTATGCTGCTCATTTCGAATTCTGCACTTAATGTGTTCCAAGACTACATTGAATTCTTGTTCCTTAAATTTTTAATCCTTCGAACTACTGATATTTTGGTCCTACTTATAACCTGAGTTTGATCAATCGAAGTCTCATATCGTATTTCTCATGTAGGGTATAAGGAATTTCTTAAAGGGTTACCCTTATTTTATGGGTCTAATTTAGATTTTTGAGCTCTTGAAATTTTTTACATTTATATTCAATCGTATGTTATATATATTTGTGGGTGACAAAGTTTCAATAGGGATGTTCATAAGTAAGCTAGAGCTCAATTTTCAACTTTGGTGTTTCAAATAGTCTTCCAATCTTATATCTTGTCCCAAGAATCTCTTTTGCTAGTAGATCCTTCATAGTGCAAACTCCACTTGAAAAATGTAAAATCAACAGAAAGTTCACATAATTGACTTGAAAAATGTAAATTAATACAGTCTATTTTATGTTAGGGTAAGACTTTGCCTATGCTTGCTATGCAGGTAGTCTCGTATGTATACCAAGTTAATCTCTAAAGTTTTTCTTAAAAAATTATTATTGTTTTGTCCTTTTTTTCCCGGTGAATAGTCAGAAGTATCATCGTTGCATTGGTAGAGAATTTCGGATAACTATCAATATAAGAAGCTTTAACGATATGATTAACATGAGCAATCGGAGCTATGTCGACTTAGTCTCTTACAATGTTACAATAGGAGATTACCAGAAACATAAAATCATATGTCTTGAGAAGTGAATCCTAAATTAATTAACAATAGAATAACTAAAAGAGTATAATTGAATGAGCAGTAGACCTAGTATAAGCCAATCAATTTCATACAAAGTGCGTTTTAACATTCATTCACTTATAAACTCATGTCTATAGGTCACGAATTTAAAATTGATGGAGATGTGTCAGCTTTAATCAATTCAGTTTTGATTTATAATTTTAGGTTCGATTTTAGTTTTTGATTCAGTTATAGAAAATAAATTAATTTTACCAAACAAAAAAAAAATCCAAACCTGACTGATCGATTTAATTAGATTTAGAAAAAAAAAATGATATTTTAATTTTATGAAACAAAAGATAAATTCTTTTGAAGAAGATTTTTTTTTTTCTTGCAGTAACTATGCTCTTCACGGTTAATGAAGAATTTGAACTAGTAAAATTTGAAAAGTTAGAGGGTTTGTTAGATAATGACTTTCCAATTTCATATGAACAAATACTAAGCAAAATGCATAACATAGTGTATTTTGGAAACATTTTTGGAAAAAAAAAAATTAAAAGAGGGATAGAAATTTCAAATCACTAACTTAGCTAGACATTAAAAATGTTATGCTTAGATGACTTGTTCTATTAATGGACCGTCATAACGATGAGGATAATTTACTATTGGAACCTATAAAATATAATATATAATATATTTATTTTTGTGTCGGACAGAAACAAAGAAATGCGTACGTAATATACCATATTGCATGATGTACGTATATATAGCAGTCTCTTCAGCTTCCTTATTTACTGCAAATTAGGGTTAGGATAAAAGGCAATCAATGCTTTCACCCACAAGACGAATACAAAATTAGTTGCCTAGTCAGAAACTTTCTGTGTTTCGGTGCACTCATAAACTGGGGTTCCCTATTCTGACTTGGCATCAATCTGTTGGTTTCCCACAAACCCTGCTAGATATTGCACTCCTTCCGTTCCGTTAAATTTAATAATTATTAATATTTTTTTTGTTCTGTATTCCTTTCATTATAAAATATAAATCATTTTAATGTGATGATTTTATTTAAATATTTATTTTAAAGAATCATAAATAATGCAACAAAGCTAACCTCACGTACCTCTCATGTAAGAGATAATCTTACGCATCTCATAGCTGCGATGGCATGAAAGCTATTAAAATTAATAAGTTGAAATTAATTTGATGTGTAGAAATTAATAAACCACAAGAAAGTTGATCTGGCAATTAGGTCGGGTGTACTGAATTTTTAATTTGAATCTTATGTTGTGAATTAATCAGAAGAAGATGGTATGAGAAATACATTCAATATGGGCAAAATTGAAAAAAAAAAAGTTTAATATATTTTCAAAATCATAAACGAGCACTTAAGGTGAAACAATGTAAAATATCTATTTGTTACTATTAAAGTAGAACAGTGAGAGTATTGACTAAGAAATTAATATTAAACTGAAAAGAAGAATTGAATTGAACTGAACTGAATTGATGAGAAGGGAAGAGAAGTTGGTAATTGAGAGGTTGTGTGTTGTGTAGGATTAGGTTTCAATGTGTTAATGTTTGTTTGTAGTAGAAGGGGATTTTTGGGAGGCATTAAAGTGTTATCTACTTGCCACCTTAAATGCATGGCCCTCCTTTTAATGGGTTTGATGAACCCAATTTAAGAACCCTCTTAAGTAGTCACAACTCTCTTGCATGAGCCTAGCAATTCCAAAGAATTTAGGAATTCTAGTTGTTCTTGTTCTTCATTACACTTCCTTTTTCCTTACAAAATTTTCTCTGTTGGGTCTTTCTTCTTTTCTTTTCTTTTTTCTCTTCTTTTCAAACTGCAAATAAAATGTTTATATACTGAAAAGTTGAAGATCAAAAGGGTTTATTTGGGTTATGGGGCTTACTGAGTTATCTTTGGCTCCAACTCGTGTTTCAAATAGTTCATCTTCAGAATCTGAAAATAATGTTTCTTCTTCTAGTTCAAGCAGCAAGAAGAGGAAGTTTTTATCAGAGCATCACTTGCTCAAGAGTAGTAATAACAATGGAATGCCTTTCCCTATCCAAACAAGCGTTGATCTTCATGTTAAAGATCCTCTTCCTCTTGATTGGGAGCAATGCCTTGATCTTGAAGTCTCTCTCTCTTTTCCTTATTTAAATATTTCTTTGCATATATGTGTCTCTGTGATTTTATCTTCTCTGACCTTTCTAAAGAAACTAGCTAGATGTTATAGAGAAAATAGAATTTCCAAAGTAGCTAAAACCTTTACAATAACTCTTATTGTACCTAATTTATACAGTTTCGTAGTTAAAAGTTTGGTATATGTGGGCATTATTTATTTATAATGTAACTATTAATACTAATTATTGTTTTGCAGACAGGTAGAGTGTATTATCTGAACAGAAAGACATTGAAGAGGAGTTGGGACTGGCCAAAGGACCAAAAGGTGGACCTTGAACTCAACATTTCACCATTCTCTAATCAACATCTCACCATTCTTGAAGGCTCAAAGAAAAAGAATGGTCAAAAATCACAATCAAGAACTAATAATAATAATATGGTGGCATTAGCTTGCTTGAACTGCCATCTTCTTGTAATTCTGTCAAGAACCTCACCTTCTTGCCCTAATTGCAAGTATGTTCATTCCCTTCCTTCCACCCATCAAGCCCCACAGCCTAAAATCTCTCCTTCTTCTACTACTAAGTCACTCGATACTTTAAGCCTCTTGAACTAATTTTAATTATGTTAATTTTGAACATGGAATAGAGAAGAATTATGCAGAAGTGGCAAAATATGGTGACTTTGGATGGAGGAATTAATGATTGTGGTTTATATATATATAAAGATTTTAAGCTAGTCATGTTTTTTTCTTTTCTTTCTTTTTTTTTTATGATGATGATGTAATTATCAAAGAAAGTAAATAGCATCTATGGAAGTTGTTGCTTGTATTTATAACTGCTTGCTGTAATTAAATAGATTCTAATTTTCTTAATCATTTCTTTATCTCGAAGTCGCAATAATAATGGCTCGCATTTAAATAAAATTAGAGCGCCATATTAGTTAAAATATATAAATTAATATAATTAGAGAGTGTTAATCTTTTTAATTAGTATCATGGAGTCGAGCTATTTTTCTGCAGGACTTTCCTTACAGTATTTTCATCGCAGTAGAATTTAACTACTAAGTTCGGGATGAATTTGTCTGGTTCCTCTTAACACCGAAATAAAAGAGCTAAAAACATTATCGGTACAAGTGAAGAATATAATTTAATAAGCATGACTTTTTGGATTTGAACCCTCAAAACAATTGCTTTCTTCTTCTCTTCTTCTTCATTTTTTTTTTTTTTTTTTTTTTTTTGCTTTCTCTTCTTCTTCTTCTTCATTTTTTTTTATTTTTTTTTTTTTGTTAAAGAAAACATCGTTAGGCAAATCCTACTGCATTTCCTATTTTAACACTTCTTGTATATTTTGAATGATAAACCCAAGTGAAAGAAAAAGAAGTTATTATCAAAGTACATGTATTGGTTGAATTGATAATTTAGATTATAACTAGAAAATCAGGTTCTCATAATGGTTCATCATTTCAAGACAAGTAAATGAATAAGAAAACCAATATTGGGAACTACAATAAAGTGTAAGAACGACGATTGTGAATCGGTGAAAAGTTTTTTTTTTTTTTTTTTTTTTTGTTTAAAGAAAACATCTTTAGGCAAATCCTCCTGCATTTCACTATTTACACTTCTTGTAATTTTGATGAGAACCCAAGTGAAAGAAAAGAAGTTATTATCAAAGTACATGTATGGTTGAATGATGATTTAGATTATAACTAGAAATTCAGGGTTCTCTATGGTTTCATCATTTCAAGACAAAGTAAAGAAAGAAAACCAATATTGGGAAACTACAATACAGTGAAGACGAGATTGTGAATCGGTGAAGTGAAGTGGGTGTAAGGAAAGCCACAAAAATACTATAAATCTGATGCATAGGGATCTGTGCTAGTTTCTTGGGCTCCATGCATTGCATTGCATGCTGCTCTTTAATCTTCTTCTGACACGCACGGTGGGGTTTTAATGTGACAGTTTTAGTACTTTAGAGAGTTTCTTCCCACTCTCACCTTCCGCTTTTATGGCTTTATAAAATCTTTTGTACGATTGACAGAGCTTTTGGTTTTTATGTTTTTAACTTTTCAACTCTACCTCCTCCAGAGTTTTTGGTGTTAAATTAATTAATACCATTTAGAACCAAATTAGTTTTTAATTGATCATTAACATTAACTAAAATGTTTAGAATTTTGTTGGATTAAAAATTAAGTCAATTCAAAAGGTTTCGATAAGAATTATAATCGAGATAGTATTTGAGCGGAAACTTTCTAATTTTAGTTCTTGTTTCGATGATTAATTATTAATTTATTAAGTGTAACTTCAAGATTAGTTCATCCTCAACTTGGTTGGTTGATGTCAACCATTTCAGTAGGTTGATGAAAAAAAAGTACTCCTTTTGAAGGAATGAGATGTGCAACAATGTTTTCAAAGGACAAAGGACAGTACACGTTGTCACCTTCCAAAACAATTACCTATATCGAATTTATGGCTCCACGTGTGAATCAAATTAATAAAATTAAAAATTTTATAAAAATTATTCTTATTTTATCTTTTTTTTTTTTCCCTCTAGTATATGGTTAAAAATACATTTGTATCAATAAAAATTATATTTTCATTGATTTAATCTATTGGTAAGACCATAAATCCAATTTAAGTAAGTAAATCTAGATTAACTTAGCCCGAGGTGAGCTATCCATCAATACAAAATGTATTTGGTATTAAATTATTAATATTTGCTACCAAGAAATTGAGATATTAGCAAAATGTTTGGTCTTGTCAGTCATATCCTTAAGCTTTTCTTTATGGCAGATTAGCAAAATGGGCTCTAATAATTCAAGAACTCGACATTCGCTATACATCACAAATGGCAGTGAAAGATCAAGCATTTGTTCACCGGCTGGGCTGTGGACTTCAATTTGTGAAGAATAGCGCCGGCTGAATTTCTGGAAAATTTGACATTTTTCAACCCCAAGCCCGGCCTGTGAACAGGCTACAAATTGTCTCGTAGATCATCTTATCTTGTATAGCGAGGAATTTTTTGAAAATCTCCCCAATAACGATGTGCTTTTCACTGAAAATTGGCAAATTATGATGTATAAAAACTCTTAGTCATAGGCATTTTCGTCGTTTCGAAAATATTTCTCATGTAAAATTGTATTTAAATATTGTTTTCTTATTTCATTATTTCTCATGTAAAATTATATTTAAATATCGTTTTCCTATTTCATTTTCACGTTTCCACGATGTTTCCCATGTAAAATTATATTTTAAATATCATTTTCTTATTCCATATTTTTCCGTTTCCATGCAACATGGTACGCAAACATGGTCATGATGGTGTAGGATCATCTAGAGATTTTTGTTTTGCCTAAAGGAGAGATCTCATCCTATTCCTTCAACCTAACCTGTAACTTTTTCCAAAAAAGTAGCCTAATGCTAAGCTGTGATTTTAGGACTGAAGATGGCAGTAGAGATGAACACGAATCACATTCAAGTCTTTCAAAATTCTAAGTTGGTAAAATTAATGTAAAATTTTATATCTATCTTGAAGTTGGAAATATCACATACCTTAAATACTATGATGTTGCGAAAATTTTACATACCTTAAATATTATGATGTTTTGCCCAGACCCAGTTTATATGGACATGAACTGGGTGCTTTGAAAAATAGCACAAACCTACATGTGACATGAACCTATGTAAGCACTTAAAAGCGGCTTTGTTAGGTTGCTGATAGGCCATGTCTAGTTTTATTCGTATACATGAGGAAATATTTGGCAGCAGCAAGAAATACAAAGCTCAAAACACCAATTTTAACTGAAAGCGCTATACCAGACAAGTTGCGCTTGCTTGTGTCTGTTCCATTAGATTCAATCCGGCTAGAAGACCTTATCTGGGGTTTCATAAATGATGAATACTTTTCAATATCTGCTGGAGTTAATGCTGGATTCAGCGATTGCTTCACAGTCTGGAAATGACGGTTGCACACAACAGTTGCAGATATGTCTTCCCTCAGAGCTACAATTCCAGCTTCCCGACAAAGACCTTCTAGTTCAGCTCCTGTGAAGAGTTCTGTATCTTCTGCTATGCTTCTCAGGTCAACATCGTTACTTATCTTCATGTTACGTGTATGAACAGAAAGTATCTCATACCGAGCCTCTAAATCTGGTGGTGGTACATAAAGCACCTACAAGTTCATAAAACTAACTTAAAACACGGTTCTATAGCTGCAAGTTAATATCTTGAACTTTATTTCCTACCACTGTAAAACAACCAAGGGCATGAAAAAGTCTTGGACCATTTCAATACAGATCATTTTCATCTTTTCTTTTCGAAAATCACTGTTAGCTTTGTCAGGAACTTTTTTATATTTTAGTGAATTTTATAGAACTTTTTTTACAGTTGATCAAAGAAAAATTATATTTCAGTCTTAATAGCCATGTCTTAATCAATATTTATAGTCTTATGAAACAATATGCAGTAATTTTACCTTTTATTGGACTAGATGGAAGAGGAACAATAGTCAATAAGGGAACTCCATATGAGAATTATATAAATGATTTTGGCAAAATACCATTCAAAGTACAAGGATGGGGCTGTTGTTCATAATTCAGTAATTTTATAGTTTTGTGAGGATGTAAGCTATGATTTCTGACTCAAAGTCGATTTACTTGTGTTTGAAGATTGATTAAAATCCTAATTAATCCAGCGGTCAATTAAGATAGGGATATTTGAGAAGTCTACTATTACTTGGATTGCAGATTACTTTTGAGTCTACAAGTACCTATGGTTGAAAGGCAGTGGAAATGCAATTCAAACCCTATAAAGTGAGGCTTTCTTCATGTTTGCAGAAGCTTTACTTGTAAATCAATCCATTTCAAGTTCTAAATACAAACTTCTATTTGTACCAATACCCAAGTGTGAGCAGGAAGGATGGGGGACAAGGAGAAAAGGGAAAGGTGGTGAAAGAAAAAGAAATGATGTATATGAACTTATTTATTTAAAATCAAAAATATTTTTCTTTTTCCAATTTTGACCTGTTCAGTAGAGTTGCAACTAAGTTTTCAATTTAGGGGAAAATTGAAAATTTTATGAGAATCAATTGAAGTCACAAATAAGTAGGCAACATTTGGATCTTTTTTTTTCCATCATTTGGCCTTGTTTTTTCATTTTCAAGACTACAGAGAGAAAAATAAAGGATAAATAAAGTTTGTGTCTACTGCAATCACCAAGGATATGAGAAGTAGAGAAGTCAGAGTTCTTACTAAATCAAAGCGTCCCGGACGCATAAGTGCAGCATCAATTGCATGAGGACGATTTGTGGCAGCTAATACAAGGATTCCCTAATAGATTCGAACAATCATTCAGATTATAAGAATCAAGGTAGATATTCATATCCAACTTCTCACACATATAGTTTCAAGTTGAATAGAAAGCTTAATCATGTAATGAGTGCTTACCTTAGCTTGTTCCAGACCATCCATTTCAGTTAATAAAGTAGATAGAAGCCTCTCTCCTACTGTGGTACTATTACTTGAACTACCACCCCTGCCATTGAACAAAAGGACTTTTCAGAATGAGTTAAGACTTCAGAAACCCCAATTCCTAAATGGATGAAGAGAAAATTCCACTTATTTCAGCAAATGCCTATGATAGCATAGGTCAGAGTTCTGTTTCTCCTACTCCCAAAGCAGTATAACATTTCCATTCAAGGATGGAAATCACAAGCCCACGTAAGCACTACATGGGAATATGGAGTTGGGCAGTAGTTAAAAAACCCAAGAAATGTAAATTCCCATGGAAACTAAACAAGTGAATGTTACATCTCAAATCACTTTTTCAAGTGATTCTGGTAACCAAATAATTCTCATTACTAATGTCACTTCTCTCAAAACAGACAAACACAGAATCACACAGAACAATTATTGACAAACAGAAAACATACTAACCGTTTTGCAGCTACAACATCAGCCTCATCAAAGAATATTATGCTTGGAGCTGCAAGGCGAGCTCTTTGAAATGTATTTCTCAACAATGCTTCACCCTCTCCAACATACATCGAATATAATTCTGCACCACTGATTTACAGTTTCTAAGTACTCAAGAAGTAAGAATGACACATATCTGTCTGGGTTTGACAAAGTCAGAAGCTGAATTCTTAAGAACAATGAGAATAACAGACGACAAAAACCTCAGATGATGTGAGCATAGAATATCAAGTCTCTAGCAGTTTAATAACATGGTCAAAACAACATATATCAAAAGGCACTTATATGTCAAGGCAAGCACTTTTATCCTCAAAAAAGACAACAGAACACAGAAGAGAGATGAAAAACAAAATTTAAGCATTCAAATCAACACCATTGTGGGTCTCTTGTGCTTAGAATTCTTAAAAAAAGATATTAATTCTTAGTGTGATAGTTAGTGTATGTTTGGTGTTGGTGGTTGGACTGTTTCTGGCCAACTGTGTTTGCACTATTTAAGGCTTAGCAAAAAGCTAAACCTTTTTGCATGAGATGATTCACCATTTCGCTTCCAGTCTACATCAGGTTTACCTAAACCATGGTTTTCCAAAAGCATTTGAAAAAAAAAAAAATACATAATATATAAAAAATTCAAAATGCATTTTCGAAAAAACAACTCTGAACTCAATCCTAAAATGGCTATTAGTTGGTCTAGAAAGAAATAAGGTGTATTATTTAATATGATAGAATGGTTAAAAAACCAATACAAGGTCCAACTGCCATTCAAATTCAATTAGGAAAGCTCTCATATTTTCTATACAGTGGCCTCTTGTATTCATTGATTAGCCAGATCTTTTGCTAGGATCGACTTTGTTGGGTGCATTAATATAGAATAGATTACCTACCTCGTTAGTTTTTCTACAAGACTAGCATCGTTCAGCATACAATAGGATTTGTTACCCTGAACAGAATAGCTTGTAACTTTCGTACTAAAGTACTAACCATCGCGTTCATAGAAGTGTTCCTAATCAGGAGGAAAAACCAAGCCAAAAGGGGAAAAAGGGTGCAAAAATCAACCCATGAATGCAAGATATGATATTCAGGGCCGAACTAATGGTTCTACTTGGAGCAAACAAAAATCAACTCCCAAAATTATTTTTTCCTTGAACCACAGAATTTTTAGATAAGATATGACCAAAGTTCAATCATCAGTATTTAAACAGGCCCCGATGTTCTTCCATGCAAGAATCATTAATTGTGGAATATTGCTGAATTCTCATGATTAAAAACATCTGCGTTGACGGAAGTATTCTTTTTCTGATGCAACCCAACCAAGACTATTATGGTGAAGCTCCATTTTAAGGCTAGAAGAAGACCATACCTCAAGGAGAAAAATGAACCTTGGGCAGCATTAGCTGCAGCTTTAGCAAGAGTAGTTTTTGAGCATCCCGGGGGTCCATGTAGGAGAACACCACGAATAGGTGATATACCCATCCTTGAAAATGCAGCAGAATGTTTAATAGGCCACTCAACAGCTTGTTGGAGCTTTTTCTGTCAACAAAATATAGTAACAAACTTCAAATCTGTCATATACAAGCATGCATCACTAATATTCGGCAAGAGTCTAGACATAAAACAAATATATATAGACCTTCAAATCCTTCAGTCCACCAATATCTTCCCAAGAAACCTTGGGGACTTCCACAGTCACACCTCTTGTTATGCTGGGCCCCACCACAGATCTTGCACGCTTCCAGTCTTCCATTGTCAAGCGAAACACACCAGCATTTTCATTTGCCTCTGAAGACTTAAGAGCAGACATTGTAGCCTCACGACATAAAGCTTCTAGATCAGCCCCAACATATCCATTACAAGATGCAGCAATTGCTTGCAAGTCAGCATCACGTTCCAAAGGAAGTTTTTTAGTGTATAGCTGAACACAATAAACACAGAAAACAAAATTACACCTCTTACCTTATTAGTCCTCATCCAAGAGAAACAAGCAACAATACTAGTTACTTGTACGCTATGTTTGGAGCTAAATTAGCATATAATTCATTTAATTTCCAAACAAATTCTACTGTGGATCTCATTTGCAAAAATAATTCTGCAAAAAATTGCTAGTGGATTCTGTTAGGAATTCAAATGTAATTGAATCATTATATTCGGTAGATATACCAAGACGAGAATTTCTATAATTTATATTGGGAATTAAGGATAAAGACTGGGAATAACAAGGAAAGTTATTACTACCAATTCACCTAATCAAACAATATATAATTCAAGTGTTGGACAATTCATTTGCTATTTTGGTAGAATCGCTAACGGTGTAGCAAATTCCATAAATTTGAATCCTGAGAATTGCAAATGAATTTTTATGAGGTTACAAAAATAACAAATATGCCATCATAAATGAATTTCATACATTTCCATATTCCAAGCATAACAGAAGCAGAAGTAGAAATTCATTTTTATGGAATAACTATGGTATAATATTCATTTTTATGGAATCACTATGGTATAATATTCAAAAACCTTAAGAGGTTAATGCATGTTGCCACAAAATTGGCCCATATAATTAGCATAATCAAAATACAAATTTTTATTTTTTTTAACCTTTAGAATTTGTAATCGTTCCTCTTCTGTAGGAGTAGTAACTTCTATTTCAGCATCAAAACGACCTGACCTTCTTAGTGCAGGTTCAATTGCATCAACTCTGCACAGAGAAATAATTTGTTACAAGCCACACTGGAAACAAACATTTAAGTTCAGTCATGGAAAAGTCATTTAAATGGCCTAACTAATCAAGCTTAGCTAAACCCACACAACTGTTCAGCTAGAGTGCCCAGTTATGGGTTCTCCAGCAATTTAGCTACGTATTTGAGAAGGATTGGAAACAAGAACAGGACTTAGTATTTGACAATGCCATGTGGTGCACATTTCTCAAGCATGATATACAAAAGCAGTTTCATACGTAGCACAATATAGCTAGTGCCTCTTAACCATCCCTCAAACATGCCATCAGAAGGTAACATTGAATGTACTGAAACAATTTTGATGCCATTAAACTTAAGAGATTAGTACACAAATCAAACTGGCAATTCAGACAATCAAACATTTATATACTTATAACAAGTACAGTAGAAAACCTTTAAAAGGAACAAAAAGGCACCACCTTTTCACTTAGCAATTTTATATATAAAATCTAAGTTCATCAGAAAGTAAAAATTACAAGAAAATCTCTGCATCCGATAGTTTCTTTAATACAACAGATCCTCAATAAGTAAAAGTGAGAAAACAACCTGTTAGTTGATGTAACCACAATAACTTGCAATGAACTTGTAGACAAGCGTTTATTAGCATCCATCAAAGTCGATAGTTGAGAGGTTACACGGACATCCTGCTCCCGTCTGCATTTGAAGGCCTAATTTAAATATCTGTGAGGACTTTACCTTCCCCCCTACTCTAATCAAGGTAAAATATACCAAAAGAGAACAAGGACAAACTGGAAAGAGTTACCAGTAAAAGAATAGCTTTTTTTTTTTCTTTTTCCATCTTATAGAAAGCATAGTATTAAAGATTACAGAAACCAATAAATATAAACAAATCAAACAGATGTCATCTTTCTCCCATACCTTGAATCACGACGTGGACACAGTGCATCTATTTCGTCGATGAAAATCACAGATGGCTTGCCTGACAGTGCATGAGATGTTGCCTCTGAAAATGCCTCACGCAAAATTTTCTCACTTTCTCCAGCATATGCTTTATGAACAGAATGTGGACTGGGAGGGCATTTGGCAAGAAAATTATGACAATAGTTTAAGCATAACTACTGGAGAACAACAACAAAGGAATTAATGTAAATTTACTACCTGATGACAATTAAATGTGCACCACATTCACGAACAACAGCTCGTACCAAACTTGTCTAGCATTAAAAATCAAAGTAAGATAAGATAAAATAAAATAAAACTGAACAGCACCATATACCCAGAAAAGATGGTGTTGGATTACAAAATTGAGCAGAATTTGTAAAACACACGAATATTTAACTTAAAAACTGTATATACATTATCTAAATGTATGTCTCCAAGGCTCTGCTTTCTTCAATAGAAAACCAATTGTGTAACAAAATAAAGGAACTATCTTCTAGTTTGCAGGGTCAAACACCTAAAAACACCTACATTGCTCAGAGTTTTGACAATATAGATCACAATAATACCTTTCCAGTCCCAGGTGGACCATATAAAAGCAAACCTCTTGGCCACTGAAGCAAAACAAATGATTAGTTAATTAAAGCCAAAACAAAAAGCACAAGAACCAAAATTTGCAATTTTCATACCAAAAAAAAATACAGCAAGTTAAAAGTGTGTATAGTTCACTTACTTTCAGACCAAGCCTTTTCGCTTCATTGGGATAAAGAATAGGGAAAGTTATGAGTTCTCTTAGAGCTTCAAGGGCTGCATTATTCCCAGCAATTGCTTCTTCAGCTCTCCACTCCTTATTCTCGGTTTCATTTGTGTTATTTATATCATTACTACTACTGCTGCTGTGTGTTTCCATCTGATAGATAGAAAAGACAATCTTTAACCATAATGAACCCAAAAAATTGACAGCCAAAATCCAAAGTAGTATATTAACTTGATAAATTTCTCTTATAGAAAAACAAGTTGAACTCCATTAAACACTGTCAGTTCAATTCAAATACAACTAGAAGAGCACTGTTGAGAGCTAAACCCTAAACACATACAAGATAATGTGAAACAGTTAGCTGATACCTGACAGTGAAGTGCCTTTAGCTATAAAGAGAGATTAACCAGAAGCAAACTAATCCTCACCTGGAACTTGAATCAATTTAAAATTAGCTATAACAGTTTATATGGCTTTCAGGCGATAACTACGGAGAGATGGAGAAAGGCTAAGACGACGACGGTGAAATTTCCGGTGACTGATATTGTTGCAGGTTGTGACGAATTTATTTATGCGCCTCCGTGTCGAGGAAAAGCAGAGCGGCAGACTCTCGTATTTCAGATACGAAACGGTTTCGTTTCAGTTTTCTTCACATTTTGTAAAATTACAAAAAGAACTCAGATTTTTCGAAGCTTTTCACAAAATAATTTCTTCATTCCTAGTATTGTGTATTCAGAGAATTACCTTTAGGCTGTAACAATGTTTGTTGAGCAATTCACAAAATAATTTCTTCATTATAAAATAAAATTAATTATTAAATTTTCATAATTCAAAGTTAACACAATTGATAAATGAATATTTTTATACCAATACTATTAGAGTATTACTAGTATTTTGTATGACGTGCGTTGCACATTGATCATACTCATTATATACTCATTTTTTATCTATATAATATTAAATCATAAGTTTTATTTAGATTAAAATAAATAAAAGTGATTAATTCGTATTATATTTTGCCGTACAAACTACTTACAATGCTACTTATTATGTACATAATTATATTTTTATATAATGAAGTGATTTTAGAATAAAATTCAACTCGATCCTTAGACATAATCATTTAGTCCATAATTTATAAACGCATATTTTTAAAACCCTAATAGGTACTCAAAAAGAAAATCAAGTCATCACTTATTCTTCAAATCCTGCCATCGACTCCAAATAAATAAAATTTAAATTGTTTACAATCTCATATTTAATTATGTAAATTCTATTTGAAAAATTACTTTTTAAAAAATATATAATATATTAATAAAAATAATATTTTTTTTCTTCTTTTTTTACTTCTCTCCTAAATAAAATATAATATATATTATATTTTAAATTTTATTTTTTAAAACATATATCCATTCGTATCATAGAAACATAAAGAAAAAAAATATTAATAAAAAGATATATTTTCTTTCTTTTTTCATCAATATCCTAAAAGAATTAAATATTTAATAAAGTATCATAAGAAACTTAAAAAGAAAAAAATAATATTAATAAAAGATATATTTTCTTTCTTTTTTTCATCAATATCCTAAAAAGAATTAAATATTAAAAATAAAATAAAAAAAAATTTTCAAATATCTCATTTATTCATATATATTTATTAAAAATAAATTAGATAAAATTAATAAAAACTTTAAAATTTTTAAAATGTTTAATTATATATATGTATTCATTTATTTATTTTTTTCATTTTGTTAGGAAGCTTTGATGGCCTGAAATAATACTATTGGCGCTATGTGTTAACAATCAAATGATAAAAACTCTCTAACAAAAAAAAAAAAAACGTTTCGATGATATTATTAGATTATATAAAATATCAAATAAAATATTTTTTTTTTAAAATTAAAATTTTCAACAGTTTACCACTCTAATGTTTAATTAGAAATCTATTTGAAAATTTACTTTTTTAAAAATATATCCAATCAAATTCTCTACAAACATAAAGAAAAAAAAAAATATTATAATAGATAATTATACTTTTTTTCTTCTTTTTCGTCTTCTCTCTTAAATAAAATATTATATATATTCTATTAAAAAATTTATTTTTTTTAAATATCTAATCACCTCATATAAAACATAAAAAAAAAAACATTTATGTAAATTCTATTTGAAAATTTACTTTTTAAAAAATATATCCAATCAAATCTTACAAACATAAAGAAAAAAAAATATTTATAAAGATAATATACTTTTTTCTTCTTTTTCGTCTCTCTCTTAAATAAAATATTATATATATTCTATTAAAAAATTTATTTTTTTTAAATATCTAATCACCTCATATAAACATAAAGAAAAAACATTTACTTTCTTTTTTTATATATTTCCTAAAAGAAATAAATATTTAATAAATAAAATATAAATTTTTTTTCAAATATCATTATCGCATATATTCATTAAAAAATAATTTTAGTAAAGATAAAACTTAAAATTTTGAAATGCTTAATTACTTATATGTATTTATTTACAAAATAATTTTTTGAATTCATTAAGCAGCATGATTGGCCGAAATAATACTGTAAACTATACAATAACCAAATTGGTGAAGACACTTGTGGTTGAGAGGACTCGAACTTGAGATCTCTCAATCCTCACATAAATGAGAAGACAATCAAACCGCACATGATTTACTTAAAAAATAAAAATTTTAAATTATATCTAATCAATTAATAAATTGTGATTTTTTAATTAACCATCATTAATGGTATTTTAGAACATTTTAAATTTCAATAAGAGTGATATAAGAAATCTCATTATTCTCTCCTATTTCCATATTTATATATAGTATAGATAGATATAGATATACAGATTGTTGAAAATTTTGTATAATATATTTAGCATGGCAGCAAAAACAAATATTTTAGAAATTTATTTATTTTCTTGATTTTCTTTTTCAAAAAAAAAAAAAAAAAATTAGGGCTTGATTTTCTAAAAACATACTTTGTAACTTGGAGTTAGTGATTACTAACAATCACCACGTAGATTTTCAAAAAATGAGACATGGGGCGCCACTACCACCGCATACTGAAAAAAAAACCATACCAGCAAAGCAAAACCTCTACCGTCCGCAATGGGAATCAATCTTGCCAAAAACAAATGAATAATGGCTAGAATATCAATGCCAACAAAATTCCATTTCAGGTCTACCATTCCAAGAGAAACCAAATGCAATGCCCACCAATATCTCTCCCCCATCAAACAATTCGCAATTTCCCTTCCAAGCTCTTCAAAACAAAACCATATTCTTTCAGAAGCATTTCATCAAACACACTGTAGGCAATGTCAATGGCAATATGGGTTTCAAGACTCAAGAGTTTAAGAATTGCCTCCATATTACTAGTTTTGTGCAATTTGGTTGTGGTTACGATTGGTGGGATTTTGTTATTTATTGTAATTCCTGGCTGTGATCGCAATTTAATTACCTTGCCTATTCTAGCGGTTTCTTTGGCCGCTGTCCTTAGAATCTTTGCGATGTTTCGGTCAGGGATTGCCCAAGAAGCCGTTGCCAAAACTATTCAGGATTCTCTATCTGAGAGCGCTGTTTTTGACTCAGTTATTCGCCTCACTAGACGGGTATGCGCAATTTTTTCTTCTATAGCTTTTGATATTTTGTTTGCATGGTTTGTTGGGAGAAAAATTGAGACTTTAAATGAAAAAAGGGAATTTAGAAAGTTTGAATCCTTGTTTTGGTATTGATAGTAATTATTTGTGCTACGAAGTCTTTGAACAAGGTAAGGGATCTTAGGTGTAACAAATTGGAGTTGTTATGTTATAACATGTGTGATGATATTGTAAGCTAGACCAAGAATGACTTGAATTGACTCTTCCAAAGTAATTGTTTTTTGGTTGACAAGTAAAAACTAAAGCCTTATCTGGTGAATTTATCTGGATTTTTGGTTCCCTTGTTTGGTGTGAATGAAAATGTATATATTAAACCAATTCAGTTTTCTGAACATAATAATTTTCGATTTTGTAAATGCTAAAGTTGAACTTTCATTTTGTAGAAACATATATAGGGATAGAGGGTTTTTGAGACATTGTCTTGTAAGTGATTGTGTAGTCTGTGCTAATGATATTCACATGCTAATTGTAATTCCCATGGGAAATCGAATTTGGAACCTTAATCTAAGGTCAGGGATTTGGGCCTTTTTTATGATATAAATGGTATGTGCTAATTAGAAATGCTAATTGTATCTCTTAAGGTGTTTTTCTTAGCTTCCTTGTGGGTTTATGCGTTAATGGCTTTTTAGTGGAGTGTCCTTGAGAGTTTGGGTCATTACGGGGTGCTACTTTGTTAGTCTTCTTTCTTGCTCTTTTGCATTTTTTATTTGTTATTTTTGTTATACTAGAAGGATATTTTATTCTCCCCATTTCGCTTTTCTTCTTTCATTTTTTTTTTTTGTTAAAAAGAAACTCCAAAAGGTGATAAAAATAAGGAATAAGGAACTGTTGAAGGAAATAAGGAATCCTGAAACCAAGGGTCTTATCTGAGGCAAGATTAAGGGCCTCAGGCTTTGGAGAGGTTTAATGTCCTTGTTAAAGCTTCATAAGTGGGTTTAGATAAAGAGAGGTTGAAATATAATTGGATCCCTAAATTATGTTCAAATTAACACTTAAGTCCTTTTACATTTGTGAAATAATTATGAGCTCTCTAACTTATGCTTCGTCTCACTATCGTGTCCTTTCATCCAGAAAATGTGCTTTTTTCTGGCCAAAAATTGAGCATATTCTGTCCAAAAAGTATGTTTAACTAATAGTAAAAAGCTCAATTTTTGGACGAAATTGCCTAATAATGAGATGGAACCATAGATTAGGAACGTCATAGTTATTTCTCAAACATAGAGGGATATAAGTGGCAATTCGAATTAGGGACCAGTCATATTCCCCAATGAAGAGATATGTTAGAGCCAAAAGTTATAGGCTAGCTGGCTGAAGAAAAATAATTTACCATATTGTATATGGTCAATCTAGGAAATTGAGTTAAAAATTGAAGTCAAACTTACTCTAATGCATAGTGTACGATATGCAAAGTACTCTCTTCGTTCTAAAATATAAGTCGTTTTTTTGTGATTATTTTATCCCAAAATATAAGTTGTTTCGAGTATTTTAAGGAGTAATAAATTATGTTTTTCCAATGTTACCCTTATTATATTAGAGATAATAAATATCTTCACAAGTTACCTTTAGTTTTGATATAAAGGGTAGTTTGGTCAAATTACCCTTGGTTTTGTTGTAATTTAGAAGAATTAATTGTTCCTTTAATTTCTGTGCAAAAACCTTAAATATATTTTGGGACAAAGGGAGTAAAAGGCTAATGTTTGTTAAGAACATATTTTGTGAGTTTTGTCCTAACTTCTTACTGTTGGGATAGTGTGAAATATAACTAGGGAACCTGCTTGCAGGCTTTTTGATGCTATAAATTTTGATTCAATTCTTTAATATAGTGTGGCTGCTTTGATGATGTGCTTCAGTTTAAAATTGATGTTTTTTTCTTACTGAACAGATGAGGTATAAAACATGGCTTTGGTGGAGCCGATTCGCAATGGTAATTACTTTGCTGCAAATTATCGGTGCAATTTACCTTGTGTTCAATGTGGCTAAATATGTTTCTCATGATGGAACATCAAATGAATGTCTCTTAGGTAAAATGGGTTCATTTTCATCCTCATAATTGTTTTCATTTTCATTTTTGATTGTTTGTCTAAAAACTTGTGTAAAATTTCTTGTTGTGAATAATTAATATGCTAGATTTACATGATCTTCATTATCATTGTCACTGCAAGCTAACGTTTAAGCTATTTTTATGGGGTTGATGGGTGAAAACTATAAATGACAACTTCGGTTGACATTTTTCTTCAAAAAGGGAAAGAAGAAAGGACCATATATACAATCATCCTTAAACTATATTTTAATATGAAATTGCCTTTTCATTTTTCTTATATTTATTTATTCTTTTGTCAAATAAGACATGTTCCTAACACTTTCTGAAAACATAAAAATTTAATGCTGAACATCAGCCACTAGGATGATGAAATGGCAGCAATTTTTTTTTCCAATTCTCTTGTTCAAAATACCCATTTTTTGGACTTATTAGTAGAAAAGGATTTTGACCTATGAGAAATTCTCTATTGCAATGAACTTTATTTGGGATATCCTCTTTTTTCTTTTTAACCATTGAAGTACTGCACCAAATATGAGTATGTTCATGAAGCATTTCCCTTCCCTTTAGCAGGAAACCATACTTGCTTCAATCATTTATTATGGGCTTAATATATTTTTTACTCCAAACATTGGGGCCTCTTGCAATTGCATCCTACTTTCTTTATAGTATTATGTCCCAATTTGACAACTTAGTTTCAGTTGTACACTACAGTTAAAATGAATAATAATAATAATAATAATAATAATAATAATAATAATTTATTATTTTTAAAATAAAATAATTAATTTTAACCTTTTTTTTCCAATTTCTCTGCTTTATCTCTCTTACATCTCTCTTCTCCACCTCTGTTTCCTCTAGCAACTTTTCCAACTAACAGTTCCTCCCTCCGTTCTCCACCACCTTCCATGCTAACTTATCATATCCATCTCCATTTTTCTGTCTCCGCTTTGCCGCCTCTTGTTTCTCTATCGACTTTCTTTCCCTACTGCCACCAGCATCACAATCACAACCACCACCAACACTGCACAACCACCTTAGACAAAACCTCAAGATCTTACAGCCTCCATCTTTTCTCACCAAACACTATCCCTTTTGGCGGCTTTTCAAATCTTCCCGAACTTCCAAATTGATCTGGCAGTATGCTGGATCATTTTGCTGAAAAGTTCATGTGGTATTTTGATGAAGGAAATGGCTCTGTTTCAAAATTGAAGGTTGGCCATAAGAGAGGTTTGGCGTGCTAGGGAGAGGGTTGAGAAGAAGGGTTTGGTTATCTAATGGGGTTGCGTGAGAGAGAGAGAGAGAGAGAGAGAGAGTAGATGGAACTGAAAAATAATTACTTTATTCCTAAAAAAGTTATTATCTTTTTTTCTAATTTGACCATAGAGTATAAAAGCAACTAACTTGTTGAATTGGGGCGCGATAGTAAAAACAGAGGGAAGGATGCAATTCTAACAGGCCCCAAACTTTGGGGCAAAAAAATCCATGAGGCTGTTATGTGACTTAGATCTGTTTCAAATGTCACATTGGTTTCTCCCTTTCCACAAAGTAAACAGTACAAAGCATGCCTAACAATGTCTTTGTTCATCTTATATTGCCATCGTTTTAGTAGGTGTGCTTTATTTGTTGTAACTTCTGTTAGCTTTAAGAATTAAGTTCTACTTCTAGTTCATGTTCATTAGGGTCAAGTGAGGTGCCATCATTTTTTAACAGTTTGATTTTTCTCAAGGTCAACATTTTATATCTTTACCTGAGCCTAGAGAAATTTGTGGTATTCCTTAGTTCTAATTTTATGCTTGATTGCTACTCTATCTTGAGTAGTTGATAGATGCCAACTTTGAATATGTGTATAGAGGTTGATTAAGTTTTTGTTACAGTGACTTATTTGATATGTTCCTATACCATTTTCTATTAAGATATAGCATAAAGTGCGTCATAATGCTCTTTCCAATGATAATGATGGGTTTGCTATCTTTGGGATAGACTTGGAAGGAAAAGACTTAACTTCTGGATGTTGACATTGAAAGATGGTGGAAATTCTCAAAAATGAATATATATCAAACAAAACTTATACTCTTCATCCCATGACTGATATTTTTGGGTTGGAATTCAACTAAATTAATGAATATGCATTCAACCATGTCCTACTATTGATCAAGTTGAAAGAATACATTTTTCTCATTCATGTGAATATTTGTTAATTTTTTATATCCTGTGAAAAAAACTTAACAGTTCTCTCCAAAATGTTTGTGATGTAGGGATGGCTTCATATGGTAACCACTGGAAGCGAAAACTTTTGATTTTGTTTCTTATCATGGTTTGTTCTCTTCCGTTGGTGCAATGTTTTGCTGGATTTGATGTCTTAAGATGGAGATCTTTCTATTCAACCCAAGATGATGTGTGGAAAGCTCACTACCATGAGGTGTTTGATCATGGAATTCGTGAGGCTTTATGTTGTTTGGGACGTGTTGAGTACTTGTAGGTTTTAGTGCATTGACTTAATCTGCTGGATTTGAACTTTTATTAACTTTCTGATTGTTTCTCTATTTCCTTTAGGAGAGTTTCTAAGGAAGATGAAGTATATTCTGTAGCAAGATTATTGGGTGATCTTGTTGCTTATCGTGCATCGGGAACTGGACATTTGGAACTCCTGGCAGGTTTGTTTGGATAGCTAAATATATATTATAGGTCATTAGATCTTCTCTTTTGTTGGTTTAAAAATGTTCTTCTCCTTTCCTTTCCTTTTTAATTTTTTTTTTTTAATTGTGCTGTTACATGGGAGTCTTTGGATTGAGCAAAATTCACATATCAATAAATCGAAGGATATCGTTAGTTTGTTGTAGGTCAAGGTTGTGTTTTTGGGTTCTATTCGGGCTTAAGCTTCTGGTTTGAATAGAAAGAGTGAATCCAACATCAGTAGACCCTTTGGTGTGAGTTCAAACCTTAGAGTCTATATGGGTAAATTATCGAATCTGCTAGATTAGATACTTCACCATGGCAATATAGCAAATTTGGCTTGTATCTAATTTCATATTTGGGCATTTTTGTATTCATTTACATCATTTACATGCTTGATTTTGGCTGTGTGTGTCATTTCTATTATTTTATTTTGTCGTTAGAGTTGGTAATTTGACACAATTTTGTAGAAAATTTCTTATAATTTATATTTTACAAAGACCTTTACAACGGCTTAGGTCTTTGATAGATGCTTCAAAGTCCAGGTGTAAGGATATTCTAAATGCTACGTGAACCTTACTTCTTAAACAAGCAAATTGTGCTTGTTGATGAAGCCTATACAGGGTGATCAGATGTTTCAAGGATGGATTGTCCAACATCTCTTGTGCGAGTAAACTGGTAGCCTAAGCTTTTTGATGGTCTGGGTTTGGGTTTCTTCACTGTTTTGGGCCTTTGAGACCATTGCTTATTTGTTGATCAGTTAGATTTCTTTAAGAGCTAGAACCACATGTTATTGTTATTTAGGAGGAGTGAATCTCATATTGGTCATATAAGAGCTGTAATAGATAGTTGATATTGTTGTGGACCTTTCTTTATGGCATATCCTTGTATGACCATTATGAAGTGAATAAAAGCACGTATTGTCTAAATTTTCCATTACATTATCTTTTTAGGGCTAGCTTTGTTGCAGATGCGTAGCGAATCACCTAAATCTTATGATGGAGCTGCGGAGGCACCTCTGGGATTGATTCAGGAGGCCTTTACTTTTCATAAATTTGCAGAAGCTGCATATACAGTATGGCAATATAACCATATTAATCTTAATTAAAAATTTTCTTTTATTCATCTATTTGGAGTTTATTATTATATATTTAATGGCAGTTGCTGCATGGTTCAGGGTCCATTACTTGATTTTGGAAGACACAATATCTTTTTTCCTTGTGCATGGCTCTATAGGCAAGGGTTTTTAACCCCATGGACTCGTAACAGGTTATATATCCATCAAATATCCTGCTTGATGTGCATATATAAAATATAATGTCAGTCTTTTAATATATAAATTTCAGGACCTTTAATGGTTAGATGTTTCATTCATCAAAATATTCATTATCTGCAAATATATATGATCTTTTTTCCTTGTGCATGGCTCTATAGGCAAGGGTTTTTAACCCCATGACTTCGTAACAGGTTATATATCCATCAAATATTCCTGCTTGATGTGCATTATATAAAATATAATGTCCAGTCTTTTAATATATAAATTTAGGACCTTTAATGGTTAGATGTTTCATTCATTCAAAATATTCATTATTGCAAATATATATATTATTATATATTATATATGATTTGTACTTTTTACAGGCAACAAAAAAAAATTCTGAAAACCTGAAAAATCCAAATCGAAACTAAAAAAACCAAACTTGTGACTTGCGTTTAATTCTTACTTTTATATATTTAGGAAAAGTTAGTAGTTTGGTTAGCTGTCCAGAAATGTATATATATAATATATATATATTGTTACAATATTTAATTAATATTATTTATTTTAAGAAAAGTAGGTAAGTACTCCTGAATTAGGCATAGTCATTATGGATGCTCATTTCCTATTTATTGTTTTGTCTGTTTATATATTTGTACTTTTACAGGCAATCAAAAAAAATCTGAAAACCTGAAAAATCAAATCGAAACTAAAAAACCAAACTTGTGATCTTGGTTTAATCTTACTTTTATATATTAGAAAAGTTAGTAGTTTGGTTAGCTGTCCAGAAATGTATATATATATATATATATATTGTTACAATATTTAATTAAATTATTATTTTAAGAAAGTAGGTAAGGTACCCTGATTAGGCATATCATTATTGTGATGCTCATTCCTATTTATTGTTTTGTTGTTTTATTACGTAGTTGATTTGTGGAATCTTATATTGTTTGGGTGAAATTCTTTTTGCAATGCATGTAGAATTTTGAGAAAAGCCCTTTTGCAAACATAGTTCAAGAAATGGGTCAAATTGTGAAGTCTAATATTAAATAGTCTAAGAAGTTTGAATAGCCTGCCCATGGTCTAGAGCCTCTTCTTCTAGCTAATGTATTGTAATACTTGTAATTAATTAATGATTTTAGCTTCATCTGAAGGGTCTACAAAATCCAGCCTCAAAACTATTGGTTAAAAATCTAAAAATTGGTTTATCTGTCATGCCTCAAATATGGGCACGACTGGCATTACACTGAGGATGGAAAGAAGTCTTAGCCTTACATCTATAGTAAAGAAGAAATCTTCCTTGGTGCTATGCCAAGGTACTGATCTTGTATTCCCATTATAACCAAAAAAACAATGAATTAACCATGTTTCTGGTTAATAGCGTTCATCAGTTAGATTTCAGTTTTATATTTTGTGAATTGGTGGTATTATTTTGGTTTAGAGAAGTACCTCGCTCAGTTAATCAAACTATGAACACCCTTATCTATCTGCAGGGAGAGAGAGAGAGGGTACAAGGGATCCCAACAAGGCTCTCTACTCTGTGGCAGTCGAGTATCTTAGAAGGTGGAAGTGGCATCTATTGACAAAAAGTTGAGAGGAGAGATTGAATGATTTAGACACCCAGGTAATTTGAAATTGTGGTAGATAAGAAAGCAAGGGGAAGCATAAGGTGATATTTTAAATCAAGTGCAGTGGAGAAGACAAGTTTATATAACTGACTTAAATTAGTTTGGAATTGAGACTTAGTTGAGTGGAATTGAATTAAGAAAGAGCCACAATTATGCAAGATAAATGGTGCCATATATTAGGATCATTACTCCCATTACTTCTTCTGAGGTTTTCCTTTTTCAAAATAACTTTTTCTTATATGAACTTTGATGCTTGTAGAGCCTAACAGAACAGGCCCAGTTTGACTTGAGCAGGTCTGGTTGAGTTCCACCTAAATTATCAGTCAGGGACATGCACTTTTTGGTGGCTATTGAACAATGAGTATTTTACTGCCTGATCCTGATTGGGTTATTTATTTAATTTTCAACAATTTGGTTGGATGACTTTCAACCACAAGACCTGGTTATGCCTTCTTGGTGTTTGTCAAATCTATACAAGGACAAGAAAACTAGAATTTTGTCTAAGTTGGATTTTTATATTAAGAACTTTCGTTTAGAGATAATGAATCTCTATCTCTTGCTTCCATATGCTTCTATTCCTCTCGCATGCATAACAAGTAGATTTTTTTTAATTATTATTATTATTTTTTTTTGGTAAATAGATGGGATAACTGAGTATTAGGTCAAATAGTATTGTATCAATAAGTTGCACTTTGCATAGTGAATGTATTACATTATTAAACATGTTCCTTTAAACAATCTATTCCAGAATAAAAGTTGTATTCTGGAGAATAAAAGCAATGGTAAGTTGATCCCACACATAGCAACATATGCATATAGTTACACTTCTCTGGGTGTATATATTTATGATGTTTGCTCATCTTCTACCATGATATAAGAATCCTCTTTTATGTCTCCAGGCGGCCCATACTTACAGGGGATAACTGGTTACGAGGTCATGCTGCAGCCTTCTTAAAATATGTCAAGTTGCCATCAGAAGCACTTCGAAAAGGTCGTGTATGTCAGGTAACTAAAAATATAAGGGTGTAATGAATCATGCTAGGTTAGGATTGTTATGGACTTTTTGAATTACTTAAGGGGAAAAGGCGTTAGGCTAAAAATTTTAGACAACAATAAAGGCACTATCTCATCAGTTAGTAGAAATGTAGAAGCAAATGGGAACTAAATCCAATCCATGGTGTATTTACTCGTGGAGATTTCAATTTTTTTCAGAAAAATGTCCAACAAATAGATATTTGTTAGAAAATGGCTGTCGCAGCCAAAGGGGGGGCATATATATTACAAAATCAGAATTTCATTTTTTCCAATTTTAAATATGTTGTGGAACTACAAATTTTATGGTGCACTTTACTTTAAAGACAATGGATACCAGTTCTGCAATTTCCAATTTATATCTATGGAAAAACACAATAATGTTTATCAGTTTGGAATTTAGATAGTCCTTTCTAAATTCAAAAAGAACTGGGGTAAGTATGCTGTTGAAACAGTAATTTGGAACTCTTCACTGCTCATACTTGCAGCTTGTATGTCCTTTCTTATTTGAATGTGTGATCATCAAAATTTGCATATTTCTAAGTGATTCCTCATTCTAATTCCAGGAGAAGTGTGAAGCAGCATATTTTGTTGTTGTTCTACACCATCTGAGATCTGTACTGATTGTTGTACGTGGAACTGAGACCCCTGAAGACCTTATAACCGATGGCTTAGGCAAGGAGTGCCTCCTTTCTACAGAGGACTTGGATGGGTTGATAAAGCATGTTTTCTCTCTCTCTCTTTCTCTCTGTTATTTCTATCTATTTATGTATCTATCTATTATTTATACTGGTTCACCCACACAATAATTGTTAACAAAGCAGGCATTTCACTATAGTAACATGACATCGCAAACTAGATTAGTCAAAGCGCAATTTATTCTCAAGGTGATAACATAGTGTCAAGGATTAGTAGGTCTTGTGTTCTAATTTTACTAGGTGGGTGGTGAGAGAAGTTATGGCAAGATGAGAGCTAGCTCGTGTAGCTGATATACAAATTTAATTGCCATAAAACAAAAGGATTTTCTCTTTCAATTGATCAATGAATCTTTGTTTCTTTTTTTCTTTTCAATGTCCCTGTAGCTTTTATTTGGTAGAAAATTTACCTACGTCATTATTTTTGTGGGACTAGATTTTAAATAATGGGAACCTCAATAGTGCGTTGCCCATTTCCTAATGGAATTTTGGTCCACTATTATGTTTTTCTGTTTCTCAACAACTGATTCTCCAATCTCTCTGTAAATAGTAGACAAACTTGAGAAATGGACATTATTTTATAAAATGTACCTTCAGGTTCTTAGTCACTTTATACCCTGCATATTTTATTAATTTTTTTGAACTTTCATTTTATTAAATTGTTGTTTATTGTTGATTTCAGTAATGATCTTAAGAGCTTTACTGTAGTAACGGACAACTCAAACTGATTCAGTTTCATTCAAGGAAATCTAGAACACTTTTCCATTTCTTGTTCTGTTATTTAAAAACATGTTTGGAATTATCCATATAATAAAAACATAGTGAATAATGAATTTTTGTTTTGTTGCTTATATTCAATGTCCTTATTTTATTATTAATAAATGATAAAGAAAGATGATTTGTTTTGTGTGGATTTCTCATAGGTTTGTGTGTCAAGCTGGATGCTTCTGTATATAATACACGCACAACTAGAACTGAATGTTTGCATCACTATTATCAAAAACAGCTGGCACGTATGCTTCTTTAAGTGGTATCTTCTAAAAGCTTGGTGCTAGCCTAAATTTTTCTTTATGCTTGTGTGCAGTAGCAGCAGCCATATTCACCCTAATGTGAAGCAAAATGTGGAATTATCTTTCCCACACTATGGGCACTATGGTATAGTTGAAGCAGCACGGGATCTTTATATGCAAATTGAAGGAAATCTAGGAGATCAAGGTGCCTCCCCAACTCATTCCCCTTTTACTTCCTTTCCTTTTTCTCCTTTGCATTTCTTTGTAGGACCGAGTACCCTGCAAACAGAAGTTCCCTACTTACTATTGGTCCTAATAAGAATAAGTTTTAATGTAGTCTTCTAAGGTTTTCATGAGTCCTGTTTTGAACTCCCAATGCTTCATAAGCAAATGTTTGACGAGAAATTTTCTAAAAATGTTAGAATGCACAAATGAACTACTAATACAGTTAGTGGAGTTAAAACAGAAACATGAGCTCATGACCTTTTACATTCGGTTTGACACTGATAATGTTAATGCTTCATTTGTCCTTGTCAATTGTTGCTTTATAAATATTTTTTTAATGTTTATAGTAGATGCAGAAGCTAAATCAAATGGCTTCCTTTCCTCATTGCTGGGAGCTGGATGCGAGTGTGATGGATATAACTTGTACGTAGTTGGGCATTCCCTTGGAGGTGCTATTGCTACTTTGTTAGGACTGAGAGTATGTTTTCTTGCACCAATGTGATTGTCCCTATAGGTTAGAAAAATATATATTGTTTTCCTGGTTATTGGGTGAATAATGGGGTTTTGTTGACCCTTGAATCATAATTGCCTCTATCATGTTCACAAGCACAACTAAATTCTGATTTATTCCATGATTGAGAAATAAATTGGCCTGCTTAGGTCCTGTCAATTTTTTGGAAAATATTTTCCGCATTTTTTAATCCTTGGTGTATACTCACATACAGCAGAAAAATAAATGGTAACTCTAAAATGATTTCCTTGCCAAAGGGGAAGAAAATGAAAGTGATTTGCTTTTGGGATGCTTTTGAACTCTCCTAAATTAATTGAAGATGAACCTACAAAATAACTATGGGGACATACCCACATGTTGACCAGCTCTCGCTGAAAAAGCTGTGTGTAATTCTCTCTTCCCCTAAATACAACGGAAAATAATTCATTTTCTCATTATATGTTCTCTCCAGAATAATTTTTACAAGCAATAAATTTTCCATTAAACTATAGGAGAATGAGTTCTACTTGAATCTAAACTTTATTTTATATCTTGTTTGGCATACTGGAATTTCATAAAAATTTTTGTAATTCATTTACAAATCTACACTTGCTGTAAATGAAAATTCAGTTGGAATTCTATTGAATTGGTCATACTTGAATCAAATTCTAGCCAAATAAAATAGAATTCGCAAATGAATTCTCAAATTAATAACGGTACAATCTACTAAGATCTATTGAAAATTGACATGAATATTCAAATATATGAAAGAACTGGTACCATACTAAGTTGTCCACACATTGCCCCCCAGTACTTAAATGTTTCGGTTGGAGTAAAAGAACATATTTAGGTTGGTTTGGTATTATGTTTGAAACTGATTTTGAAAACTCTATTTCAAATGATTTTGAGACAAAAAATTTTGGATTGTTATTTAACTGTTTGTTAACTTTTATGACCAGTATATGTGAATTTCAACTTAAAAATACATTTTAGATGACCTCCAACTAACATTTTCAACAAATTTTTTTCCCAACAGCAGTTGAAACATCAATGCCAAACACATTCTTACTGGTTCATTTTTGTGTACACAGTTATATAGACGATACCCAAATTTACGTGTTTATGCATATGGGCCACTTCCGTGTGTGGATTCAGTCATAGCAAATGCTTGTTCAGAATTTGTTACAAGGTAATTTTCAATGGCATTCATGCTACTGCAAGTTTGAAGGCAAGTTCTCTCTTTATTTTTTTGTCATTTATTTCTGTTTTGTTATAAGTGTTTGAGCTTCCTGCAGCATTGTACACGACAATGAATTTTCTACACGCCTTTCAGTTGGGTCAATTCTACGGCTTCGAGCAGCTGCAATTATGGCACTTTCAGAAGATTCCAAAACTGATTCGGCCTTAATTTTTAGACTTGCTTGTCGCTTTCTCTATGTCGGCAAGTTCCAAAGAGATGGGATTGAGGAGAAAGATTCATCAAAACTAGCTTCTCCAGCCAATGCAGTAGAAGATCTAAATGAAGTTTATAGAGGTCTGTCTTACAATTTTACTTGCTATAATGATTAACATGATTTTAAAGAATTAGCTGCAATATCATCTGATGCATAAAACTATACAACTGATAATCTTTAACAACACTACCACAAATCTGTGGCGTCACCATTAACATATTGTTAACATTTGGCAACTCCAATTAAATGCTTTGATGAATATGCATTGGTTAATCAATATTTTTGACATTTTATTGTCAGAGGATGTTAAATTAATATTGTTAAATCCATATTCTTATGGTGACTAAAGGTAAATATATTGTGCACTTGAAATGCAAGATACAAAATGTTTTTCATGATAATAGAATAGTGGCTATTTTACTCAGAGATTCTTTGATATAAATGAATTCCATAAAATTTTATGGAATTCATTTACAAATCTAAATTTTCTTGTTGTTACAAATGAAAAGTCATTTGGAATTCTATATTCTTAATTCTATGGACATACTTGATTAAATACTACCAAAATTAATAGAATTTGCAATGAAGCTATATATTTAAGATGAATTATATGATTGATCCAAACACGGAAAACTTTTCAAATGATTTTTTGAAATGAAATCAATGAATTCTATATAAATTTATTCCGAACACTATGTTATGATTTTTTTTTTTTTTTCTCACTGCAGGAAGCAATAAACTGGACAATCGGAAAGAATCAGATACAAATAATGTTAACGACATAGACAATGGAACTTTTGAAAATCCTTTCCACAGTGAAGGTTCAGATGCAAATACATTGGAGAATCCAGTATCTCAGTTTCTGGGAACTGTTCCCGGAAGTTTAAACAGATCAGCTGAAGACCCACCTGAGATGTTTCTAGCTGGCCTTGTGATACACTTAGTACCAGGGCAAAGAAATATAAGTATGCCTTTGTGGAAGAGATGGAGAATACAACGTTATCATTGTTATTTAGCAAATAGGGAAGACTTCAAAGATATTATTGTGTCACCAAATATGTTCATTGATCATCTCCCTTGGAGGTGCAACCGCTTGTCCTTTTTTTTTTTTTTTGCTTTTTTAGAAATTAGTGCATTACTTTTACTAATTGGTATTTTTCTTTTCAGATGTCACTATGCCATGCAAAAGGTATTAGAAGCTCAAAATAACAAAGGTCTTGATGAAGCTCAGATGGTGTAAGCTATGTTCATCACAGTCTATTCTAAGTTGCAGTAGATCTCTTTTGGTCTCTGGTATCCGTCACATATACCATTCTGAAACGAAGCTGAATGCATCCATAGGTAATTAATCCATAAAAGGAAATCGAATATACATCCATAAGTTGTGGTTATGTGCATCTATGGCCTCCGACCCAGTGTTTTGATCATCCCTACTTTATCGACTGCAACTTCTGTATTTATTATCGCTTGTATAATGCAGAATTCATTTAGTTCATCCTATTAGCTCAACTTGTCCGCAGGGCTTGAAAAGGAAAAATTGTACAGTTGATTTTTTTTTTTTAAAATGCTCTAGTTTCTAACTTTAAGCAATTGTAACCATCCAATTGGAGAATGACTGATTCTTCACTGTAATCTTCATCATGTATTTTCCTTTGTATAATTTTGGATTTGAAATACAATAAAACTTATATCATCTTTGTATAAGTTTAAACTTTCATTGATCTTTAATATGGTATCAAAGCATGGTTTTCAAATAGATTAAATTGTGAAATTCATGTAGATGCACATTCAAAGATGCATCTCATAATATAACTTGCATGCATTTCCTATTTTACAAATAATTTTAAAAAAATTAACTATTTTAGTTAAATTTGCATGTATTTCTTTCTATTATTGATTTTTTGCACCGATCAAGATTAATTAACTATCTAATGTCGGTTAATATTCATTCAAAATGACTAAACTTAGTAAATGTTCATATTTTCAATTTTTAAAGTGATTATCAATTATAAATAATGGCGTTGGAAATAAATAGTAATTGATAAAAAAAAAATAAAGTTATTTTTAACCGTAACATTAAATATTATGATATAGATATTAAAATATGATTATTTACTAAGCTAGTAGTTGCAATTATTTAATGTGTCCGAAGGACTTCAATATTCCAATTTGCAAGAAGTGAATAATGAGATACAATTTGAAAAATCAAACCATTCTTTAAAGAGTGAAATGCTAATAAAATCCATAGACTATAGTTGACTATAGTTGACCCTTCAAAGCAGGAAACATCTGCACTTCTAGACACTAATAAAATCCAAACCGACCATTGAAATTTTAGTTTTAGAGTTGTTTCTTTCAATTTTCAATTCAGGACATGACTCTTTAGATGTGTTCTTTATGTACTGAAATATTGTTAGTTGGCAGTCGGCTGAAAGTTTCCAAATTTAAGAAATTTGGTTCTTGCGTTTTCAATGTTCATACTCTGTTTACGGGCTGTTAAATTAAGTTTATGATCCCATGTCTGGACATGTCAAATCAAAAAGAGTGGCGATTTACTTTTTTTTTCTTCGTCCATCGATTCAGCCAAATAAAAAAAGAGAGAGAGAGAGAAAAAAGGCAAGAGATTGTTGAAGATGAAGGAGCAGAGTTTGAACGCCAACAATGAACAAGATCAGTAGTGATGATGAAGATGGATAAGAAGAGAAAACTTTTATTGGAATTGAATTTAATTTATTCAGAACTCTGTTATGAAAATATGAAACACATAAATTTCAAGTCCTTCGTATTGCTGTTTTGCAACCAAGAATGGGACAAAAGGCGTGTCACGTCTTGTTAGACTATATTTATGTCTACCAGAAACCACTGTTGGATTCAAAAAAGCAATACTGTGTTTGGTCAATGCTAAGTCGTCGCTTACAGTTCACATAATTCTTCTTGCCTTAGATTAATCCGTCGCTTCCAAAATATAAATCATTTTAGACCGATTATTTTATACTAAAATATAAGTTATTTTGAGTATTTTAAAAAATAATAAATAATTTTTTTTAATTTTATCATTATTTATATTAGGATTATGGTCGACAATAGCTTAATAAATAGCTGTTAACATTTTGACTGGTCAAAACGCTAACTGCTATTTTTTATAGTATTTGATAATATAGTGTTTGAACTAACTTTTAAAGGTGTTAAAGTAGTGTTATGAAAAGTTAACCAATGTAACATTTAGCTTTTAGCGTTTTATAAAATACTACTGAAACAGCTAATAGTTAAATGCTATTCAAACAGATAACAGCTATCAAAACATCTAATTTTACCAAACAGACCCTATATACAATAACCGCCTTATCTTCAAAGACAACTCTTAGTTTAGAAATAAAAAATAATTTAATCAAATTACTCTTAATTTTATTGTAAATTAAGAGAATTAATTATTTCTTCATTCTCCATACGAAAATCTTAAATCACTTACAATTTGAGACAGAAAAGAGTAACTGTTATCACATGTTTTATATTTAAGTCGAACGCTGGCTAATTTGTGTGTGAATTAGATAACCAATAATGCAGCTTTTCTGTACAAGGAGAATTCATGTGTTTCAAGATTTTGCCGGTTGGTGTTCATACTCATAAATTTACAATTGACAGAGTTCCATGATCTTTTTGGTGTACTATGTTGTTTACATCTGGTTGTTAGCCCCTATTTACCAAAATGGAAATTTTTTTTTTTTAAATGTACATTCTCTTGCAGCAAATACTAATAAATTACTAATATTATTTTTATTCATCCAATTATTACCTCACTCCATTTCCACATTTATGTATATTAGTTTTCTCGAATGTGTATTACACGTTGTTTGTATTCATTGATTTTTACATATTTAGTAAATATAATTTAATTATATTACTTTTTGCTAAAGTCTATGAGTATATAATTAATTTATGATTGTCTTTTGTGGAGAAAAAAAAAAATCTTTCAACGTGTGATTAGTTTGCTTATGTAACGTGCTATATCATAATTTCATATTATATATTTCTAATGAGTTTTATTTTCTATTTTATATCAAATAATAAATCTTATAATACATTTCTTAATAAATAATAATAAATCAAATTTATTTTTATACAATAAATTACTTGTAGGAAATGATATAATTATAACCAATCAAGTGAAAGATTTATTAAAAAAAAAAACTAAACGTATTATATTCTTACCATATTTAATATATACGTTATTCATTTTCCATTAAATTATAACATTTATATACGATATAATATGTATATACTACTATATTTAATATATTATATACCATATTATATTACGTTACCATATAATATGTGTATATGATCATTATATTACCATATAATATGTATATACTACCATTTCTATAATATTTCTTAATAAATAATAATAATCAAATTTATTTTTATACAATAAATTACTTGTAGGAAATGATAACTAATTATAGACCAGTCAAGTGCAGATTTATTAAAAAACTAAACGTAATTATATCTTACATATTTTAATAATATACGTTATCATTGTTCCATAAATTATACATATATATGACGATATAATATGGTATATACTATATGATTTAATATATTATATACCATAATTATATTACGTTACAATTATAATATGTGTAATATGATCATTATATTACCTATAATATGTATATATACATATTACCATATAATATGTATATACTACCATATTTAATATATATATTATACTCTTATTTAATATTATGTTATATAGTTTTAGTTGAAAACAAGTAATATTATTTTATTATATATATAACTTTTATAATATATAATAAAACGATTTATATTTTGATATTAAGCGAGTAATTATTATTTTAATTTCCAGACAATATATCAATTATGAGCACATTGCGTGTAATGCCACCGCCTCACGCCGAACGGCGGAAGGCAATGAAACGGCAACCTACTCCTTTCTTTTCACTCTAATTTTACAGCGTGTTTTACCTCAATGATTACACATCAATCATGATTTGTTTTTTAGGGCCTTTTCAACCTTTCTTGATCATGATTGAAATTGCACCCATTCAATTAATTTCAAGTCAAAGATTTTGTTACAAAAGTCTAATATTATACTATTTATCTAATATAAAAAATTGATATAAATGGCACATGTTAAATAGTATCATTATTGACTAATTATAATTATTTTATTTTAAAAAAATGGTTATGACGTATATCAATTACGTATTATTTAATTAATTTTCTCATTTATGTGGAGACAAGAGGTCTCAGATTTGAATACTTTCGACTGTAAAAATCTTTATAAATTTTATAATTCAATATTACAATGTAGTCCATAATATTATTTTGATCTATTGGATCTCGTAATAAACAAAAAAAATAATAATAATAACATTGAGGTTTTTTTTTTAAAAATTTTCTTTGTGTGGGCAAAAGATTAATAATTATAAAGTTTGGTTTTTGAGGCCATCACTCCCTAAACTTTTTAAAATTTTGTTTTTTTTTCTCCTAAATTTATTTATATTTTTCAAAAATATACATATACCCTAACTTGGCTTTGCTATTTTAGTTTGGTCTCATTGCATGTCTTTCATTTTTCTTGTACTTAATGAGTTGGCTCACTTTTCAATATAAACCATTTTTAGTTTTATATCCCTTCTAATTATTCATCTTTTTTTTTTTTTTTTATATGTATTCCAAATCTACGCTCCAATATTATCTATGAATGACAATACTAAATATTACATTCTATCTATATATATACATTTCATTTGTATAATCAATGTGAAATGAATCCAAACGAGGTTAAAATTCATAATATGATTTGCTCCAAATGCATTATTTAAGATGAATTTAGGATTGTAGACGAGTCAAATTGTTCATGACTGTTTTTAAGGCTATATTCATTCACTGAATTTGAATTTACGTGCTTACCAAACTCGTTTAATAAATGAGCTAAATTTTGAAATTTGATGAGTCTTGTGAGCCCTATATTGAGTTAACAAGCTTATAAATCAACTTGAACTCAAATTCAAACATGGGAATGGGTCATTTGAAATAATAAAAATAATAATAAACTACAACCAATTGAAGCTCAAACTTATTTATACTCCATTCGTCTTAAAAAGATAGTTCATCTTTTCTTTTTGGTTTGTCTCAAAATATAGTCTACTTTCCCTTTTTGTATTATAGTTATTCCTTAAATTGGGTACTATACCCTTATTAAATTTATCTTATTTCTAATAACTCTCATTAATTTCTTAGTTATTGTTTCAATATAATAATTACTCATGTGTTATTTCTTTTAAGGAATAGGAAAGTTATATGAATAAAATTATCATTTAACCATATTTCTTAATTTATGTGAAAATAGAAAGTGGACTATCTTTTTAGGACGGAGGGAGTAATATAAATGAAACGAGCTCGAAATGGATTTGAACTTTAACTATTTTTAAATGAGTTAAGTTTAAATTCAGTTTTTTAAGCTCAATGTTAAGTCTTTAAATATATTTTTAATTAATCGAAGGACTGAACTTGTCTAGACCGAGTTTATGACTCCACCAATGGATCAAATAGATGATAATAGGAATTTTTACGCCCATAAAAGATAATAGAGGTATAGAATTACTAGAATCTTAATGGTTGAACTTATGGTAGAAAGTTAATAGTACCTTCAAAGAAATTCTGTATAGAAAGAGAGA